TCTTTCTTTCTTTCTTTCTCTCTCTCTTTCTCTCTTTCTTTCTTTCTTTCTTTCTTTCTTTCTCTCTCTCTTTCTCTCTTTCTTTCTTTCTTTCTTTCTTTCTTTCTTTCTTTCTTTCTTTCTTTCTTTCTTTCTTTCTTTCTTTCTTTCTTTCTTTCTTTTACAGCCCTGGATTAGCCGGTGCCATCTATGTAGACCAGGCTGGCCTGAACACACAGTGATCTGGCTGCCTCTGCCCCCCCAGGTGCTGGGGTTAATTAAAGGCGTGCGCCACTGTTGTGTGACAAAACTTTCCTTGGGGAGACAAAACACTCCTATACTCACCCCAGACAGGGAACCCACAACAGACTCAAGTATAGACACCATCACAGTCCAGTGATGGTCAACCAGTGAACTTTATTGGGGTTACTTACAGGAACAGAAATGACTCAAAGGTATCACTAAGGCCCACCCCAGCATGGGGGACAGCTCACAGAAGCTAAGAACCTAGAGAACTGCACAGACTGTAGGCTGCTCAGCAGGCTGGAGAGTCCTTTCCAGGAGCCTCAGTTGGCCTCAACCTTTTTCTTTCTTTCTTTCTTTTTTATTTTTTAAAAATATTTATTTATTATATATACAATATTCTGTCTGTGTGTATGTCTGCAGGCCAGAAGAGGGCACCAGACCTCATTACAGATGGTTGTGAACCACCATGTGGTTGCCGGGAATTGAACTCAGGACTGTTGGAAGAGCAGGCAATGTTCTTAACCACTGAGCCATCTCTCCAGCCCCTGTTTTTTGTTTTTTCGAGACAGGGTTTCTCTGTAGCTTTGGAGCCTCTCCTGGAACTAGCAGTAAAGAGAAGAGTCTTTACAGCTGGACTCTGCAGTCATGCATTGGTGGTGCACACCTTAAATCCCAGCACCCTGGAGGCAGAGGCAGGTGGATCTCTGAGTTCGAGGCCAGCCTGGCCTACAGAGTGAATTCCAGGACTGGCCCCAAAGCTACACAGAGAAGCCTTGTCTTGAAAAACCAAACAAACAAACAAAATAACTCAAACAAAAGAACAGCTGGGCTCTGAAGTCCCTGACAAGAAGGGGCCTAGGAAATTTGCCCAGTCAGGGAGTTTTTTTTTTTTGTTTTGTTTTGTTTTTTTTTCGAGACAGGGTTTCTCTGTGGTTTTGGAGCCTGTCCTGGAACTAGCTCTTGTAGACCAGGCTGGTCTCGAACTCACAGAGATCCGCCTGCCTCTCAAGTGCTGGGATTAAAGGCGTGCGCCACCACCGCCAGGCTCAGGGAGTTCTTGAAGGTATTTCTTGTTTGACTCTCTACTTAAAGAGCCACCTACATCCTGGATGGAAAGTTTTAATCTCACAGGAGACTGTTACACAACAACCACCATCCCTGACTCCTCTTTTTTTTCTTTTTTCTCTTGTGGGTCGGGAGCGGAAAAGATTTACAGCATTCTCTGTGTAACCCTGGCTGTCCTGGAACTTGCTTTGTAGACTAGGTTGACCTCAAACTCACAGAGATACACCTGCCTCTGCCTCCCTCCTGAGAGCTGGGATTAAAGGTGTGTGCCATCACTGCCCAACTGAGCTGAAAGTTTTTATTCACTAATGTATTTGAAGAGTCAACAGCAAACACCTTGCTCATTGTATGTGCTGAATAAATTCCTGTAAAATCGGAAGGAGATCCAGGAGAGATGGCTCTGCAGAAAGGGCCCTGGAGGCGGTCACAGAGTGTTAACTTGGGTGCATAGACCCCTAGCCCCTCGCATCTATCCCAGCCCCCAGGCCTGAGAGTTGTATTGGTCTGGACTCCAAATCCCAGGATGCCAGGTCCTGACCACTCCGGCAGGGTATTTAAATGAACTCCAGAAAGAGGAACACTTGGTTTCTTTTTCTTCCTCCAGGTGGTCCTGTTCGCGGCCTCCTGTTCCCCCGAGGAGTGCAGGACTCCCATTAAATCTGGATATTTTTTAATTTGGCTTGTTTTGATTTGGCTTGATTGGGAATTTACGTCGGCAGAGAGCTTGTGTTAGGAAAAATTCCTAGGGCTGGAGAGATGGCTCAGCGGTTAAGAGCATTGCCTGCTCTTCCAGAGGTCCTGAGTTCAATTCCTAGCAACCACATGGTGGCTCACAACCATCTGTAATGAGGTCTGGACAGAATATCGTATGCATAGTAAATAAATAAATATCTTTTTTAAAAAAAGAGAGCCGGGCAATGGTGGCACACGCCTTTAATCCCAGCACTCAGGAGGCAGAGGCAGGCGGATCTCTATGAGTTCGAGACCAGCCTGGTCTACAGAGCTAGTGCCAGGATGGGCTCCAAAGCCACAGAGAAACCCTGTCTCGAAAAACCAAAAAAAATAAAAAAATAAAAAATAAAAAAAAGAGAGAGACATAAAAAAATTTAAAAAAGGGAAAAATTCCTAGGTTTGAGTCCCAGAACTTTTTTTTTTAAGGATTTTATTATATATACAATATTCTGTTTGCATGTGTGTCTGCAGGCCAGAAGAGGGCGCCAGATCCCATTATAGATGGTTGTGAGCCACCATGTGGTTGCTGGGAATTGAACTCATGATCTCTGGAAGAGCAGACAGTGCTCTTAACCTCTGAGCCATCTCTCCAGCCCGAGTCCCAGAACTCTTTTAGTGGCACACAAGCATCCAAACTCCAGTTCCAGGGGATCCAGTCCCCTCCGCTGGCTTCTACCACCAGCACCAGACACATAAATGGTGCGGAGACATATATGCACATAGACAAAACATTTGCAAACATAAAATTAAAATTTTAAAAATTGAAATGAATTCTCCTCTGTAAAAATACGAACTAGGTCAGGTGGTGGTGGTGCACACTTTTAATGCCAACACTCAGGAGGCAGAGGCAGGTGGATCTTTGAGTTTGAGGCCAGCCTGGTCTACAGGCCTGTCCCCGACTCCAGGACATCCAGGACTACACAGAGGAACACTGTCTTGAAGGAATAAAAGAAATGAACAACAATATGAACTAGAGAGGGTTTTAAAAAAAGAAAGACAAGAAAAACGGAAAAAGAAACAAAAATCCACAACTAGAAAGAATAATTAAATAGTGATAAAGGAGACAGCACACTGGCATTGAGAAGGGTCAACTACTGAAGTCCGGAGGGCAAAGATAAAAGAAGAAATTCTCATTTTTCCCCTTGGACTGCAGTGCACCATCAGCCTTACGTGGGCTCTCCAGGAACATGCTCAAAGAACTGTTTTTGCTTTGTATGTTCATTTATTTTTTAGAAAAGGTCCAGGCAAATAGCCCAGGCTAGCGTGGAATGCTTGGTTCTCCAGTTTCACCTTTGCCAGTTGCTGGCCTTACAGCATGCCTGGTTCTGTTGGCCGTTTGTATTCACTAACACTAAAATAAAACCTTTGGTCAGGTGCAGAGGCACACACCTCCCTTGCCAAGACGGTGATAGACTGAGTCCAGGAGTTTAGGGTGGCGTGCGGGGTGAAGTAAAACTCTGCCACGAAAGAACCCCCGCCTCCTCCCACAGTGGTGAGATTTATTACTGCACATGACTTGTGGGGTACAGGAGAACACAGTGGATGCCCCTAGGAATGCAGGCCTGCCACTGTCCAGGGGACCACAACTGAGGATATAGTTGACCCCACAGCCATCAGGCAGGAGCCAAATTCACCTGCATTACATTTGATGGGGCCCCACTGCTTTGAGATGTGAATCAGCTGCAGGCCAGGAACTTGAACTTGCCTCCAGGTGGGGCCTGGAGCATATGTTCCTCATCAGGCATCTTGGTGCAGAGGACAGGGTGACCTGGCTTAAGTGAACCCTGGCCTTTGTGCCCTGGGGCTTCCCAAAAGCTTCCTGCATCCCGGCTGCAGTCTAGAGTGGGCATAGCTGCTGGAGAATTGTTTCCTACTTCTTTTAGGACAACCACATAGGTAACCATCGCACGCCAGGCCTCCCATGGGGCAAAGGGACCTTCCTGGTTGGCCTAATTGGCTGCCGAATGTGTTTCGTTTTGAGGCAGGGTCTGCACAAGCCCTGGCTAGCCGCAAACTCTCTTTGTAAGCCAGGATGGTCTTGAATACAGAGGGACCTGCCTGCCTCTGCCTCCCCAGGGCTTCTGTAAGCTTTTGCTATTATGTCTAGGTCTTTCTGGGATAAACCTTCAATGGGGTGTTAACAGAACTGCACATTCAGCAATGCTGGTCACTAATGATATTCTCTTTTGGAGAAAGGGTCTCAGTTCCTTCCTCTGGCTGTCCTGGAACTCACCCTGTAAGACTGGAGTGGCTTCCAGCTGGAGAGATCTGCCCGCCTTGGTCTCCCAGAGTGTTGGGATTATAGGCTTGCTAATGGTTTCAAACAAGTTTCCATTATCTCAACAGGTGAGGAAATACATCTATATCACAAAGCCCCCCCTGGAGTGAACAGGTGTGCTGGTCAGAGAGGACTGAATGACAAAGAGGAAACCACAGACACAAGAACCTGACCGCAGGACAAGAACTTGGGAAAAGAACCCCTCAAAAACTGGCAACCAGTATAAGGAATAACAAAACTAATTTAGTTTGTAGAATTTATGCTGGTGTAGAGGGAAAATTCAGCGATTTACTGTTATAGAAAATGCATAACCTGATGTTTGTGGCCTAAATATTTGGGACATGTCCGGAGAGAAGCTTGATATTCGATCAACTTTTGTACAAATCCTTCTGTTTTTACTAGTTTTATATCAAGAATCATGTTCTCGGGATCTCAGCTTCTCTGGGCTTGCCTTTTCAAATGGCCCTGCCAGGGACCTACGAAGGTTTCTAAAAGGCTATCCCTGTCTAGAATAATTCCTTCGACAAAAGGGGAAATTTTGTGGAAATTTCTTCCATTTGACGTTGCTAAACTTAAGTACAATAATGTCACATGTGCTTATACAGTAATTGTGGGCACGCCTAAGTCCCTCCCTCTCTCCTTAAACCAATATCCCCACATCTTAGAAATCCAGCCCTTCTGCCCTCCGGAGGCGCCTTTCCCAACGTAAAGTACAATTTTAAAATTTAAGCTCCCGACTAAAAGAATGATCCGCAGTCAACTGCTAGGGAATCTGGGCGCCCCAGTGCCTGCGGAGGGTGCAGCCGGGTGTGGGCACAGGCAGGGGGAGTGGGCGAAGCTACTGGTTGGTGCCTGAAATCTGTGCGTTGCCCCTTTAATTGTGTCCTCAGCCCTCGGGCGTTTCTGTCCAACGCCCACGTCAGCAAATACCTTTTGTTTCTCCCACGTTGGGGCTACTTGTTTTAGGGCGCACAGCCTCGGCTTCGGAAGGGGGTGCTTCCCCCACCGGGAACCGGGAATTGCTCCGCAGCGCGCACGAGCGGCCAGAGCCCCGCGGTAAGTGGTTGCGCGGGCGCGAGCGGGCGGAGGGCGGCCGGGGCGTCGGGGCTGCGGGCCCGGCCCGAGAGCCTGGCGGAGGGCGGCCCGGGTGCACCCCGGGGATGCAACCGTAGCCCGTGCGCGGGGCGACGCAGGGGCGGCCGGGCGCCATTTGCAGCCGGGGGCGCAGAGCGGTGGCTCCGAGGGCCGGCGACGGCCACAAAGGAGGCGCGGGCGGCGGCGGCCCCGGGCGCGGCTGCGGGACAATGGCTGCGCCGTCGCCGCCCGCGCCCGCCCCGCCGCCCGCCCCGGCCGAGCCCCGGGAAAGGCGGGAAGGCGCCGGAGCCTCCTGGCGGCGGTGGTGGGAAGGCGGCGCCACGGAGTCGGGCGTGTCCGCAGCCGTCGGGCGCCGCGGCGGGGGAGGGGCGCGGGGCGCGGGGCGCGGGGCGCGGGGCGCGGGGCGCGGGGCGCGGGGCGCGGGGCGCGGGGCGCGGGGCGCGGGGCGCTGCAGCCCGGCGTCCTCATTCCTCCCTCCACCCTTTCGCTTTCAATCACGACGCGACGGTTCCGGGCTTAGAACCGAGGGCATAAGTCTGGATCCCCAGCTGGCTCCCGGGAGAATGTCCCTGGCATCTCCCACCTGGCGACACTGTCTGTCTTGGTCCCTTCGCGTCTGGCGCGCTTACTCGCCCTTAACTGTGCGGTTAGCTGTATTCCCCGCTTTTCCGAGACGCGTTTGGAATGGGATTCACACCTAGCGGGCACCCAACCGCACACGCGCTAACACCTAGAAGTCTATATTTGCAGGACTCTAGTAAATGGAGTGGTTTCACTTTCATGAAATAGTTCACTTAATTTCTTCCGAGACGACTACCAGTTCAGTCTGTTTATTCTACCTGATGAAGGAAAGACTCTAAGCACGGAGTTTCACTCCTAGGAAGAAGCAGCCCCAGGAGCAGTCTCCAAGTACCAAAAAATCTTCACTGATCTTTATCACTTAAATCTTACTGCTATTTGCCTATTTATCTTTTGTTTTAAACTGGGCTCAGGCTAGCCTTGACATTTTGATACTCCTTCCACCTTGTGAGTGTTGGGATGAACTAGTCGAATTTCAGTCTGTTTTAACTCCTTTAATGGCATGATTTTTTTTTAGTATTCAAAGAGGTTGATCTAAGGTTAGTTGTTTTTTTATTCTCCCTGATTTTTATGTATTTTGTTTTGTTTTGTTTTTTTCGAGACAGGGTTTCTCTGTGGCTTTGGAGCCTGTCCTGGAACTGGCTCTGTAGACCAGGCTGGTCTCGAACTCACAGAGATCCGCCTGCCTCTGCCTCCCGAGTGCTGGGATTAAAGGCGTGCGCCACCATCGCCCGGCTGTATTTATTTTTTGAAGACAGGTCCCATGTAACCCATGCTGGCCCACAATCTATGTAGTTTTTGATGGCCTTGGTCTCCTGATTCTCCTGCAGCCACCCGCCAAGTGCTGGGATTACAGGCATAAATCTCCACACCTGGTACTGTTCCGTGCTCAAATTGCACCCAGGGCTTCATACATGTTACACTGGAGCTCTACCACTCAGCCATCCGCCCAACCCTCTCCAAGCTTTAAATGCTTCTTCACATCTTACAAAAAGCCAAAGGCCCATAAAGCCTTTTAAGTCTCCAAGGCCTTATAGGAATTTGGCTCACTGTGTGTGTGTGTGTGTGTGTGTGTGTGTGTGTGTGTGTGTGTGAAGGTCTTTGGAATAGAAAAAAAAAAGCCATGCAGATTTGGGTAACAAGTAAAGCCTGATTCTATACACAGCATTGACCCAGAGCGGAGGCTCTCGACCTTCCTAATGCTGCGACCCTTTAATACAGTTCCCCATGTTGCGATCCCAACCATGAGATGATTCCGATGCGCACACGTGTATGTTTTGTCGGATTGAATTCAGGGCCTTGCACATGCTAGGCAAATTTCTACTATTGAGATACATCTCCAGACCCTTAATTTTTTTTTTTCCCCCAGTTTCTCTCTGTTGCCTTACCTGCCCTGGAACTTGATCTGTAGACCAGGCTGGTCTCAAACTCAAAGATCTGCCTGTCTCTGCCTCTGGAGTGCTGGGATTAAAGGTGCGCACCACCACCTCCTAGCCTCATTTTAAAAATTAATTTTATTTTTGAGATGAGGGTTTTCTGAGTGGCCTAGGGCTGCCTTGGACTTTCTTCTTCTTGCCTCAGCCACCCGAGTCAGGGGCACATATACTACAGGTGGCCTGCTCTCCCCACCGGTTCTCCATGGTCCAGTCTTACTTGTTCCCCTTCAGGGCCTTTGCACCTGCTCTTAGCTTTGCCTGGAATAGTCTTTCTGATATTTGGACATCACTCAAATGAAATGAGGTGGTTTTTTTTTTTCATCTATAGTTTTGAGTCTCTCTTTTTTTAAGTTTTAAACGGGTGTTTTGCCCGTTTGTGTACCAAGTGCATGCCTGGCACCAGACGAGGGTGCTGGATCCCCTTGGATGGGAGTTGCACATGGTTATGAGAGCCTCCTTGTGGGTGCAAGGGAGTGAATCCAGGTCCTCTGGAGAAACAGGGCTCTTAACCACAGCCCGTGCTCTTAACCACTGGGCCATCTTCCTAGCTGTTAAATGTGGGTCTGTGTTGTTTTCCCCTTGAGGCAGGGCTTCTCTGTGTAGCACTGGTTGTCCTGGAACTCACTCTGTAGACCAGGCTGCTCTCAAACTCAGAGATCTGACTGCTTCTGCCTCCGGAGTGCTGGGATCAAAGATGTGTGCCAGCAAATGTTCTTATATTTACTTTTAAGATTTCCAGTTTTAGACCCTGTAGCCCATACATGCTGCTAAAACAAATTATCCAGGACTGGGTAACACATAAGGAAGAAATACTGCTGGGCGGCGGGCGGGTGCACTCCTTTAATCCCAGCAGAGGCAGGAGTTCGAGGTCAACCTGGTCTACAGAACAAAGTTCCAGGACAGCCAGGGCTACAAAGAGAAACCCTGTATTCGAAAAACAAAACAAGAACGTATATTTATTCTCACACTTGTAGATGCCGGGAAGTCCACGATTAGGTGTTGGCAGTGTCCTGGCAGATGAAGGGTGCTCCCTGCTCCAGGACTGTACCTGTCCCTATGTTCACCATGAGGTCAACTCTGTGTCCTCATTAGTAAGATGGATAGAAGGATGAAGAGGGGCCAGACCCACTTCTCCGAATCTCTTCATAAGATGCTAATCCCATCCATGAGGGCAGGGCCCCTGTGGCCTGATGACCCCCTAAAAGCCCCTCTTAATACTCCCCCTCCGAGAATTAACTTTCAGCATGAACTTTGGAGGAGATGCAGCCTTCTCCAGCACGGCTCTTAAGATGGACTTAATTCCGAATCTTCCCAGAATTACATCCTCCAAAGAGTACAATCACGATTCAAAGAACACAATTGCCGTTCCAGTTAGCTCAAATTTAGGAGGCAGGGATTTTTGCTAAGACCAACACACTAAGGTCTAGGTAAGTGGTTCTTAACCTGGGGCCGCAAAGCCCAGAGGGGTCGGATATTAGACATCCCGCATATCGGATATTTCCATTATGGCTCATAGCAGCAGCAAAACTACAGTTATGAAGTGGCGTCGGAAATCATCTCATGGTTGGGGTCACAATACGGGGAACTGTATTAAAGGGTCGCAGCATTAGGAAGGTCGAGAGCCTCTGCTCTGGGTCAATGCTGTGTATAGAATCAGGCTTTACTTGTTACCCAAATCTGCATGGCTTTTTTTTTCTATTCCAAAGACCTTCAAACTTAATGGTTCCAAATATATTTAATTGTCTTTTCCCACCACCTTTTAAAATGGGAATTTTGACTTCTGTAATCTTCTTTGGGACTCCTATAGATATTTAGCGCAGAGATATTGCAAATGTCCCATTTGACTTTTGGATGGGCCCTGAGTTAGTCTAACTTGATGATACAACTTGTAAGATCAGTCTACTGAAAAAGGAAAATCTGGAAGTCAGTATCCGTGCCTGCGGCATAGTCCTGTATGCAGAAAATAAGCCTTTCTTCATGTAGGATGCTATTTGCCATTGTGAAGTATGCTAAATGGTATCAAGTAGTAAGGAGCCAGTTTACTGAGCACTTCCTGAAGGAACCAGCACACAGCCGGATGCTCCTTCCCAGACCCCAGATTAGGCATGGACCACACACCTTTCTTTCTTTTTTTAAAAAATAATTTATTTATTTTTATTTTATGTGCATTGGTGTTTTGCCTGCATGTATGTCTGTGTGAAGGTGTCCGATCTTGGTGTTACAGACTGAACCTCCTGACTTAGGTGTTGGGAACCGAGCTTGGGTCCTCTTGAAGAGCAGCGGGTGCACGCCCATCCTGTGAGCCATCTCCCCAGCCCTGACTTCTGATTTTCATGCTTGAAAAACTTATTGGAGGGCTGGAGAGATGGCTCAGAGGTTAAGAACATTGCCTGCTCTTCCAAAGGTCCTGAGTTCAATTCCCAGTAGCCACATGGTGGCTCACAACCATCTGTAATGAGGTCTGGTGCCCTCTTCTGGCCTGTAGGCATACATGCAGACAGAATATTGTGTACATAATAAATAAATAAATAAATAAATAAATAAATAAATAAATAAATAAATAAGAAAAACTTATTGGAAAATATAATACACTAATTAATGGAGGCCAGGGACACAATTCTGAAGGTGAAGACATTTGCCACACTTGATGGCCTGAATCTGATCCCTGGAGCTCCCAGGATGCAGGAGAGAGCTATTCCCCTGTTGTCTTCTCACCTTCAGGCGCCCACCATGGGGCGTGCACATGGGACAACACAGACACAATAACAAATGATTGTAATTTTAAAATTACAAGAAACACTTGCTGTAGTGTGTGTGTGTGTGTGTGTGTGTTTTAAAAGATTGTTATAACTGGACCACAATTGGAAGCTAGCCTGGGCTACACAGTAGTAAGATTATCCAACCAGGCGATGGTGGTGCACGCCTTTAATCCCAGTAGAGGCAGGCCGATCTCTTGAGTTCGAGGCCAGCCTGGTCTATAGAGTGAGTTCCAGAATAGCCAACTCTACATGGATAAACCCTGTTGCAAAAACAAGAACCAGACAAGAATTACAATTGTTAACATAATGTCTGCATTGCTGAGATTCATGATATTTGCATACATGTACAACCCATGTGCTGTCTTGACAGCCATGAAAGCTTCCCTAAACATGTCTGCCGGCGTTAACAGTCCAGCCGTGGGAAGATGGTTCCGCCTCATTTCTGCCTTGAAGCTCTCATAAAAGATTTGATATTTTACTTGGGGGATGGTGCGTGGGGTGGGGGAGACTAACTGCAAAGGAGTCTGGGAAATGTGCTTTTTAGTTTCCCTATAGGAAGTTCTAGAGGTGTCTGAGTATGCGTTAGGGTGGAACTTGGTGACTGTCCCCCCAAAATGACATGTCATCAGCATGTAAAAACTGTGTGGGACACAATCTAGGCTTAGAAATCTGTTCTCCCTGATAGCATAGAATTCACTTTTGCTGGTCACAGCAGAGACCATGACTGTGCCCCTAAGTTGCCCTGGTGAGCCCAAAAGCTGTCAGAGTAACCACTCCACCCAGGTTCTCCTGGCTCCTTAGGACTGGCTAACAGATGAGCTTTCCCTATAACAAGCTTTCCTCTCTCAGACTGCTGGATTTCCTGTGCATGGGAGGGAACACGTGCCTGTAATCTAATACTGTGGAGGCTGAGGCAGGAGGATCAACGATAGGAAGCCCATTTGGGCTTCATGATGTCGCAACCAACAGACAATAAAACCAGTTGTTCCTCCAGCTTCTCAGTTTTGTTCACAATTTCCAGCCTGCTGCATTAGTTGCCAGTGTTTCCTAAACTTCTTCTGTAGCCAGTTTATTATTTTTTTGAGGCAAGGTCTAAGGCAGTCCTCAGACTCAGTAACTAGCCAAGGCTAGCCTTGAACTCCTGATCCTCCTGTTACCCTGTTCCAAGTGCTAGGATTCAGGTGTGTTCTACCCTGCACTAAAGCATGTTAATTTATTTAGAGAGGAATTCAAAACATCAAAGCTATTGTTGTTGTTTTGTCTTTTAGAGACAGGATTTCTCTGTGTGGCACTGGCTGTCCTGGAACTACCTCTGTAGACCAGGCTGGCCTCAAACTCATGGAGATTCCCTGCCTCTGCCTCCTAATGCTGGGATTAAAGGCATGGGCCACCATTCCCACTGGCCAAAGCTATTTTTTAAAATTAATGATCTGTGCCAAATTATCTATTTTTACATGCTGAACACTGTGCCTAAACTATCAATAAATAATTAAGTACCCTACGAGATTACATCTCTTATTACAAAAGCTCACTCTGTGTGTCTCTCCTTTCTCTCCACAGACACAGCTCCTTTTGTGACGACATTGACTTAGAGTCTTTCATCTTTGCCCTTCAATAGTCTTCAGGTGTCAAGACTAGCATCTGCACATTCCAGGTATGAGAAAACCTGTAGATTGAGACTGTTTGTTTCCCGGTTACCCAGACCCGAATAATCACACAGACAATATATGAATTACAACACTGTTTGGCCAATATCTCAAGCATATTCATGGATCACCCTTATATCTTAAATTAACCCATTTCTATTATTTTATATTTTACCACGAGGCTTATGGTTTGTTACCTCTTGCTTCTTGAGCAGCTACATGGTGTCTCTCTGACTCTGCCTATCTCTTCCAGCCTGGCTATATTCTGCAATAGGCCGAAGCAGCTTCTTTATTAACCAATGGTAATAAAACACATTCACAGTATACAGAGGGGAAGCCCATATCAGAAACCATTGCTTTGGTGCTGGAGGTTGGCCTTGGAGGTGTTCTACCAAGGAGCTCCATCCTCACCAAATGTGAAAAGTTTAAGTCTTTTGTCTCATTAATATAAATATTAATTCTACATATCAGTAAAATACAGTTTCTATTTTACGTGTATCCATGTTTTGCCTGCATGTGTGTCCATGTGCTGCATGCATGTAGAGGCCAGAAGAGGACCTTGTATCCCTTGGAACTAAAGTGACGGATAGTCATGAGCCATCCTGTGACTTCTGGGAACTGAATTAGGGTCCTCTGGAAAAGCAGCCGGTGCTCTTAACCTCTGGGCCGGTTCTCCAGCCCCCATAGTTATAACTGATATTATACCTCATCTAAACACATACATAGCCAGGTGGTAATAAGAGTGTAGCAGCAGCACGCGCCGACCAGCCTGGTCTACAGAGCTAGTTCCAGGACAGGCTCCAAAGCTGCAGAGAAACCCTGTCTCGAAAAACCAAAAAAAAAGAATTTCACACTCTGCAGTTTATATGTTATAGAATGCATTTATTGTTTTCACACTCCCTCTGTAAAGTGTTCAGCATTCTGATCTTGGTTCGTTGTTTCTGCTCACTTACTGTTAATTTTCTTCTTGTGTACACTTGTGCTTGTTTGTGTATGAGTATGGGCGTGTGGAGGTCGGAGAACAGCTTAGTGGCCTCCGTGGCCACCTTGTTTGAGGCAGGGTCTCTTGTTTGCTGCCTCTGTATGCCGGGCCGGCCAGCCCCCACATTCCTGTGGTGTCTTCGGTTCCTGCGTCCCATCTCACCAAGGCAGCACTGGGATTGTCACTGGGGAAACCGGGTGTTCCCGTTTGCATCCTTAGTCTCCTTAATAGAATAGTTTTAAAATAGGTTCAGAAGGAAGCTGGAGGACCATTTTATTAGAGCTGGAAAGAAAAACAACAGGGCAAGCAAGCTGTAAATCCTGGCAGCTGCCAGGGGGAGGGAAATGGAGAGGGGAGAGAGGTGGATAGATGATAGGTATGTAGATAGATTAGATGATAGACAGACAGACAGACAGACAGACAGGAGTTATACAGGCAGGCTTGGCAGTGCTGTGTGCTGGAGGCTCTGCAGCCTACTCCATCGAGATTGGGATAAGCCCACGATCTCAATAAGGGGATAATCATTCCTCCGTCTGCTTAGCGTGTCTCCTGGTGAATCCGCTTTCCTGGGGAATGATCTCCTACCCAGGTGATGAAGAATCCAGCTGGGTTAACCCTCAGGGGAAGAGACAAGAGTATAATATTCCAGTCTTTAGAGCATATCAGAATGCCATCGTTCTCATATTTCATTCTTTTGACTAGGAGCAAATAGTTTTCCCTTAATGGATCTCAAAACCCTGATAGCTCCATTTTACCCTATAGTTTTTTAAATCCTAAGAAGGGACAAAATTGACGCTTCTGTTTGTCACATTACCGGGGGTCCAAGGGAGCCCTGGAAGGGGAGAAATCCATCCGCAGTGCCCTCTGGTCAGGACAGAACCAAGAAGATTTTTCACTTCTCCTATCCCTAAACTGCTTGGCCTATGTCTAGCTCTTGTTCTCATCAGGATTACAGATGTGCACCACGAAGTCAGGATTTCTGTGGGTTCTGGGGGTCAGAACATAGGTCTTCAGACTTCTGTGAGAAGTCCTTTCTATTCCAGCTGTCTCCAAGCCTCCTATACTGTCAAAACTTTAACGTAATGTTTTTCCTTGAGAATTTCCTGCACGTATACATGTATTTTGACCATATCACTGTCCATTCCCCTCCCCAGCTTCCCCTGTGCCCCATACTTCCCCAACTTCACATCCTCCTCCACTCCCACCCTTCTTCATAACCCGCTGAATCCAGTCCATGTGGCCATATGCACACAAGCGTGAGGTCATTCACTGGCTAACAGATAACCTATCAGTGGGCCGCAACCTCCCTCCTCCAGTAGCCATGGACAGCTGTGTGCCAGGGCCGCCTCAGTGAAGACCGGGGCTCGTGAGCCTCTCCTCGTCCATGCTTTCGTCCATGCTTCTGTGCTGTTCTTGTTGGGGCACCACGCTGCTGTGAGTCCATGTCCAGGCAAGGACAGCACTCCCTTGCCCGCCTCCCGTCCTCTGGCTCCTGCAATTCTCTCTCCCTTTTCCACTGACCCTTGGGGGTAGGGTTGAGTAGACGTGCCATTTAGGCCTGAATTTCCACAATCGCTTATTCTAAGCACTTTGACAAGTTATGAGTCCCTGCATTAACTGTTGCCCACCACAAAAAAAGCTCCTCATGCCAGGCAGTGGTGGCACACACCTTTAATCACAGCTCTTGGGAGGCAGAGGCAGGTGGATCCATGTGAGTTGAGAGCAGCCTGGTCTACAGATCGAGTCTACACAGGGTTATACAGGGAGACCCTGACTCAGGGGGAAAAATGTTGTAGTGATATTTCATTTGTATTATAATAAATAAAGCTTACCTGAAGATTGGAGAATAAAACAGCCCCACTGGTCAGCCTTAGAGACCAGGCAATGGTGACACACACCTTTAATCCCAGTAGCCACACTAGTTTGTCATAGAAACCAGGCAGTAGTGGTTGCACGCCTTTAAACCCAGCCCTAGAGATGGGAAGAGACAGCTCTCAGTCTCATTCTGAGGATTACTGGAGGCAGGATCGCCATTTTGGACTGAGGTAGAAGTAAGAGCCAGTGGCTAGCTCTTTTGCTTTTCTGACCTTCAGGTTGAATCCCAATCTGTCTCTGGGTTTTTATTAATCGTGCTACAGAATGTTTAGATTTGTTCTTAGGAATTTGGGCTGGAGATAAACATGTGAAAGCTAACAATGGAATTGAGGCAGGCAGCACAGGGACTGATTTAGTTAGTACCCAGGGGCTCCCCCCCCCTTTTTTTTTTTTTTTTTCTCAGTACAGAGTTTCTCTGTGTAGACCTGGCTGTCATAGAAATCACTTTGTACACCAGGCTAGCCTTAAACTCAGAGATCCACCTGCCTCTGATTCCAAAATGCTGTGAATAAAATCATGTTCCACCTCTGCCCGGTAAACCCCACCAACCATTGCCCGGCCAACCCCCCCCTCTAACCACTGCCCGGCCAACCCCCCCCTCTAACCACTGCCCGGCCAACCCCCCCCTCTAACCACTGCCCGGCCAACTCCCCCCTCTAACCACTGCCCGGTAAACCCCCCCAACCACTGCCCGGCCGACCCCCCCTCTTACAATGCACCTGGTAGCCTAGAGCCTTCACCCTGCATCCATCTGCAGAGCTGCACTTCCGCCTCTCTCTAGGCAACAGAACAGGTTCTCCAGACAACTGCGTCAAGCTCCTGGTAACTGGGTAAAAGTCCTCATGCATTATGGGAAATTGCTCTGTCGCGAAGCTGTATCCTCGGCTGTCTTCTTTACTTTCTGTTTTGGGACATTCTCTCCTAAGTGTTCCCAGGCTAGCTTAGAATGGTCCCCAGAAGGGTGCTGAGAATTCCTCGTAGTCACAGCCCGACTTAATGGAACGAGGCAGTATTTTCCAGACGCAAGCATGTCTACCTCGGAAGCTAAGATCTTCGTAGAGACAGCAGAGCTGTGTAGGTCGCATGGAAAAGGGAGCGCAGACTCCACTGCTGCTTTTACTTTTGGCTCGTGTTTTTTTGTTTGTTTGTTTGTTTGTTTGTTTGTTTGCTTTTTGGTTTTTCGAGACAGGGTTTCTCTGTGGCTTTGGAGCCTGTCCTGGAACTAGCTCTGTAGACCAGGCTGGTCTCGAACTCACAGAGATCCGCCTGCCTCTGCCTCCCAAGTGCTGGGATTAAAGGCGTGCGCCACCATTGCCCAGCCTGGCTCGTGTTTTGTTGGTGCTGGAGACTGAACCGGGGAACTCGGGAACTCTCCCATGGTACTATGTACCTGTAGCCGGATTTTTCTGTCTCCAGACTGATTAGGATATGTAAACCCTTTCCTTCCCAAATGGAAAACAAAGTCCCTGTTAACAGAAACTGCGAACGCGACATTAATGAGCATTGGCAGATACTCCTCGGGGCTAGCCTGAACTCTCCACTACAGTGATATTTTGTTTATGTTTTATTTTGAGATGGTCTTGCAAGTTTTCCAGGCTGAGATCTGAACCCTCTTTGTGTAGCTCAAGTGGGCCTTGATCCTCCTGCCTCATCTTCTGAGTAGCAGGGACTACGGGCCAGCGCAGCAGATCCTGTGGACCCCATTATCTTCTGTGTCTTGGGGACTGTGTTCCTAAGAAGGAACAGGTTTAGATCGGGAACGAGCCTTCTGAGTCCTGTTTTCTCGCGTGCCGTTCCTCTCCGGTAACCCCGTGCCGTTCCCCTGCAGAATGGAGATCTCCTCCCACCAATCACACCTCCTGCAGCAACTGAACGAGCAGCGCAGGCAAGACGTGTTCTGTGACTGCAGTATTCTCGTGGAAGGCAAGGTCTTCAAAGCGCATCGAAACGTCTTGTTTGCTAGCAGCGGCTACTTTAAGATGCTGCTGTCCCAGAGCTCCAAGGAGACGAGTCAGCCAGCCACAGCCACGTTTCAGACCTTCTCCCCGGACACCTTCACAGTTATCCTGGACTTTGTCTACTCCGGCAAACTCTCTCTTACTGGACAGAATGTCATAGAGGTGATGTCTGCCGCGAGCTTCCTTCAGATGACTGATGTCATTAGTGTATGCAAGACTTTCATTAAATCTTCCTTGGACATCAGTGAGAAAGAAAAGGATCGCTATTTCAGCCTCTCAGATAAGGACAGCTGCTCGAATGGTGTGGACCGCCCCTCTTTCTACGGTAGCAGCTGGCAGGAGGAAAGTGCATCTCCCCGTTCTCACCTGAGCCCAGACCAAGGCCCAAGTATAGTAAGTGGAAAGTTGTGGCCCAAGTACAGTTACCACGCCGCGCCCCAAAGGAATGCTCCGCAGCCGTTGGCTAACGAACACAGGAAGGATGCCCTTAAAAAGACCAAGCACTTGAGACTGTCGCAACCTTCTCAGCCTATTCATCTTAAGTCGGGGAAAGCAGAAGCACGGGCGTCTGATTCCTCCAGCCACGTTTCCCAGTCTGAAGAGCAAGTACAGATTGACGCTGAAGTAGACTCCGCTCCCGCTGGCTTCCAGTACAGCCAAGGGTCTGACGTCACATCCAGGAGCTTTCCAGGTACCCAGAAGAGCTTAAGTCCCTCCCCAGACCCAAACACCCTTCGTTTTAGGTGTCATGGCAATTGAATCAAGTGATTTTTAAAAATATTTATTTATTTATTTATTTATTTATTTATTTATTTATTATGTATACTATGTTCTGTCTGCGTGTATTCCTGCAGGCCAGAAGAGGGCACCAGACCTAATTACAGATGGTTGTGAGCCACCATGTGGTTGCCAAGAATTGAACTCAGGACCTTTGGAAGAGCGGGCAATGCTCTTAACTGCAGAGCCATCTCTCCAGCCCCCAAGTGATTTTTTTTAAGAGATTTATATTTTTACATTTACTTGTGTGTGGGGGGGAGGGGTGCGTGTGTTTGAGCATGTGTGTGTGTGTGTGTGTGTGTGTGTGTGTGTGTATGATGCCCATAGAGGCTAGAAAAGCATATTAGATGCTCTGGACTTGGAATTAAAGATTGTTGTGAGCCTCCTGACACGGGTGCTGGAAACCAAACTCTGGTCCACTGGAAAAGCACCTCATTTTTTTTTTGTCATATTTTTTTACTCAAATTTATTTCATAGGACATGAATTTAAAATGTTTAATTCAAAATATAATACTGAGTACATTTAATGACAGTCAAAAGAATAGAGTAATCAGATTATATATACACATGCACACACATACACACAAAAAAAAAAAACGAAAGAAAAAGGAAAAAATGCCCGACAGCGTCTTGAGGCAGCAACACACTTTTGCATGACTTAGCCCTGGATTCTGTCTCCAGCCTGACGACAAAAAGCATTAACAAATGGATAAGAAGAAGGCAGGGGTATGGAAAGTATGCGCAGAAGAAAGCAAGCTCTTAATAGCTGGTGTGGTAGCTCACACACTTAATCCTAGTGCTGGGACGTTGAGGCACAATGCTCACTCTGAGCGCTAGGCCAGCCAGAGCTACTCCGTGAGACCCTGTCCTGAGAAGCAAAGCAGGCCCTTGGTGAGATAGCTCACTTGCCACCAAGCCCGAGGCCTTGAATTCCACCCCTGGGGTCCACACAGCTGAAGGAGAAAAGCAGGTGGCGACTCCTGCAAGTTTTCCTGACTTCCACACGCTCAACTTGGCAACATGTAACTTACACGCACGCACATGCACACATCACAAATAAGTAAATAAATATAATCTCTAAAAATCTAAAAGAAAGAAATAGGGATTGGAGGTTTACCTCAGTGGTAGAGAGAGCACTTGCCTAGCAATTGAAAGGCCCTGGGTTTGGTCCTCAGCGGGGACAGGAAGGGGCAGAAGCAAGTGGATCTCTGAGTTTTAGGCCAGCCTGGTCTACAGATCGAGTTCTAGGACAGCCAGGGCTACACAGAGAAACCCTGTCTTGAACTGCTTCCTACCCCAAAATTTCATTAATTAAAAAAAAATTAATTGCTTTATTTTTGGCTTGTGTGTGTAGTTTTACAGTCTGGTATTACCTTTTTTTTCCATTTAGAATCTAACGTGGAGTAGATGATAAGGCTGGTCGTCTAAATGTACCTGGTCTTTGTGTTCAGGTTACTCATGTGTGCCCAGGATGACCTGACAGCTGGTTAATCAAGTAGTTTGTCCTTGCCCCTCACAAGATTGGGCTCACCGGCATCTTTGGATCCCTCACACTAACAGAAGTGTTCCTACAGTCTCTGAATGATCTAATCCAACTGTCTCTGACAGATGATCTGCCCAGGCTGCGATTCAAGTGCCCATACTGCACGCACGTTGTGAAGCGGAAAGCAGACCTCAAACGCCACCTGCGCTGCCATACAGGAGAGAGGCCCTACCCGTGCCAAGCTTGTGGGAAACGCTTTAGCAGGCTGGACCATCTGAGTAGCCATTTCCGAACAGTATGTAGACGAGTTTTCATCACTCTGCTTCCTGTAAAGTCTGTGCACTTAGGTGCTTTGCTTTTCTCTCTCTCCCAATTCTCTCTTTTCCCCTGCTGGTCCTGGGGGATTGAACACTGCATCACGCAGCTGAACAAGCTCTCTACCACTGAGTTACACCCCCACCTCTCATGTATCTACTTAAATAATGGAAATTGGGGGCGGGGTGGTGACTTGCTTGGGTCCCCAGCACCCACACAGAAAATAATCCAGGGGTGGTGACCAACACATGTAATTCTAGCCCTGGGACAGTAGAGGGCAGAGGCTCCTGGGAGCGCCTTGATAGCTACTCTTGCTAAACCAGTGAACTCCAGTTTAAGTTAAAGACTCTTTAAAAAAAAATTAGGTAGAAGGTCTGGGGAGATGGCTCAGAGGTTAGGAGCACTGGCTGCTCTTCCAGCTTCCAGAGGTCTTGGGTTTGGTTCCCAGCACCCACATGGCAATTCACAAGCATCTGTAACTCTACATTATAGGGGATCTGACATCCTTTTCTGTAGCCCATGGGTACCAGGCACTTGTGCTGCACACGTATGCGTGCAGGCAAAACACTCTTTTTTTTAATTTAATTTTATTTTTTTGGTTTTTCGAGACAGGGTTTCTCTGTGGTTTTGGAGCCTGTCCTGGAACTAGCTCTTGTAGACCAGGCTGGTCTCGAACTCACAGAGATCCACCTGCCTCTGCCTCCCGAGTGCTGGGATTAAAGGCGTGCGCCACCACTGCCTGGCTATATACAGCCTTTAAAACTTATTTTAGGGGGCTGGAGAGATGGCTCAGCAGTTGAGAGCATTGCCTGTTCTTCAACAGGACAACAGGACCTGAGTTCAATTCC